AACTTATGACCTTGTATCCATAATGCCCTGTTTTTCTATCGGCTACAGATACCCGGTTAAAGTCTGTGATCTAGCTTACTCACTATTGGATACTTCTTCGGCGATTTGGGGTATATGAGGGTCGGACTGAAATGATTATTTACGGTAATCGGTTTGGTGATATTTCCCGCGACGTATGGTTGAAAATTGATTCTTAGCTACAGCACCCGGTTAGAGTCTGTGGTCCAGCTTACTTATGTCCAGGCTTAGCTATAGTACCCGGTTAGAGTCCGTGGTCCAGCTTACCTGTGATCTGATTTTGGCTACAGTACCCGGTTCGAGTTCGTGGTCCAGCCCACCCGGGCCCGACCTTTGGCTACAACACCCGATTCGAGTTCGTGGTCCAGCCCATATAGGTTGACTCATTAGCTATAGTACCCGGTTTGAGTCCGTGGTCCAGCTTGCACGTGGTGCATTCCCAATTCCTTACTGAAGCTTCAGTTTAGTCTTTGATTACTCTCATCTGTAGGTTGAGGTTTTGGAGGTTGGAGATGTTCCGATAAAGTCCGGGACGTAATGAGATCTTGGAATATAATTGGGAATGGTTCAGTTAAAGTCTGGAAATTGGTAATATTGTGATAGACTTTCTAGCTCCATTCTTTTACTTCAACTGCCAGTGCATCTGTCGGGCTTATGGGGGTCCGTGCAGGTGGTTTCTTTTATTGTGCACGAGCGTACCCGTCGGGTTTATGGGAGCCCGACGGAGTTAGTTAGATTCCTTGTCTTTGTTGCCTGTACGTTCATGTACATACCCATATTTACTACTCTTTTACCCTTGATTGTGACCCTTTATTCGCATTTCAGTTTACTTTTGCTTATCTTGCTCAGTCGGCATGATGCCTACTGGGTACCTGTTGTTTTGGTACTCATACTACACTCTGCATCTATTTTCGTGATGCAGGTCCGAGTACTAGCTACCGATGTTGATTCGAGCCAGCTGAGGTCGTGATCGGAGGCAAGGGTGAGCACACAACGTCCTGGATTTGCTCGTCTCCTTTTGTACTTACTTTTGCTTGTCTTTTGCCTTTTTAGACAACTTGTTTCTGTAGTCCACTTTTAGGACTCCCGTTCATTGCATGTTCTTGTTATATTTATTACTATTTTAAGTTGATTGGTTGGTTTTCTACCCTAACATCCCATTACTTCGAGTTCCGGGATATGGGTCGGCTTGCCTACTGGTGGGTCATATAGTAGGCGCCATCATGACCTGAGAAATTGGGTCGTGACAGGTATGTATCCGAGAGGGAATTATGATATCTTAAGTTGTAAATTTTGTAATTTTCCAATAAAATATGCGAAATTATATTGGGCCCGTATTACAGGCCTTAAATTATCTAGTAAATATAAAATTACAATAGAATAGAATTAAAAGATTATTCAACATTAGTGCAGCTATTCTTTTCGAAAAGAAGGTAAGCGTCACCTTTTTTTCTTTTTTCTTGGTTTCACGGTCTTTGATATTATTTTAGAGCCTCAATTAATTTAAATTGTTATTTCACAGGGACGGCTCAACCTAATTGAAGGCCTAAATCAAAATTTCAATTTGAAGCCTAAAATATAAATAAACTTCGTATACGTATTTATTCAAAATTTATTTTTCTTACACTATTTAGATGAAAATTATTACTCCATCCGTCCTATTTTATGTGATGTAGTTTGACTCGGTACGAAGTTTAAGAAAGAAAATAAGACTTTTAAAATTTGTGGTCCACAATGAATTATAGGAATTTGTGTGACTGTAAATCATTTCATTAAGGGTAAAATAGACATTTTATACTTAAATTGTTACTTAATATAGAAATGTGTCATTTTTTTTGGGACTGACTAAAAAGGAAAGTAAGTCACATAAATTGGGACAGAGGGAGTAGTATTTAATGTTGTTTTTTCAGTTATTGATTTTAGGTAAGTTTTGATCTACTCAATATTGAAAAATCCTTTCAGTGAGGTAATTATTATATGAATTGTTAACATAATTCTATAAGTAAAGTTGACAAATATTAAATAAAGATAAGAGTTAGAACCGTAGAATCTGATCCAGGAAGATGATGACTTGAATTACCCCATTTCTATATGTTTGTTGTAATGCTTGAAACGAAATAAAAAAGAAATTGTAATTCTCTTTGTTCAACACTCTTCACTATTAATTCTTATTTTTAACAAAGAACAACATATGTTAAACTGAGTAAAATATACTTTTTATCATAAATAATCAATTTTTTCTATAAAATTTTTAACACATAATTTATTTTTGATAAAAATTTGGGACCCCCGAAATTTGGGGGCTAAGGCATAAGCCTTATTTTACACAAGCAAGAGTCGTCCCTGTTATTGCATAGAATTTATTTAAGAAAAAATACTTTCCAAAATGACATTTTTTATACCCAAAATTTGAATCTAAGATAGCATTTTGCCATTGAGTTTAAATTAGATTTTGATAATCTATCTCTCAAATTAAAAATTGACCATGAAATTCAACTAGATTTTGAAAATATCTTCCTTGTAAATATTTTTCAAGTTCTAAAAAACAGCTTAGATTAGCTTTGAAATTTCCACTTTCAAAGCTTCAATATTTTTTCAAGCAAAATACATATCCAAACATAGTTTCACATTCCAAAAGATACAAGTAACTTTCAAAACTCATATTTTAACTTTAAAATCTATGAACTAACTAAAGAGGATGTTTGAATCAACTTATTGTAAGTAGTTCTAATTTTAAGTTTTTTTCTATTATTTGTAGTGTTTGAAAAAGCTAAAAGTTGAATATAATTGACTTATAACTTTTAACTTATAAAATAATTTTAAAAAAATCAATCCAAATATCTTCTTAATCGTCTAATTAACATCCCATCACAACTCATGTTGCTATGCGGGTATGGGTGAAGTAAGAAACGTTACCCATAAGAAAAAATATTTGGGCAAGTAACGTTTTCAAGGTCAAGAAGTGAGTAACTTTCTTGTGTTCCCTCCTCCTCTCCCTATCCCCCCATTCAATTCTTTACCTAACGCAATTCCCAATTCAATCTCCCTTTTACTTCTTCTTCTCTCTCACCATTTTCTTCTACTTGTTGTGACCCTTTCTTTTCAGATTTTGATACTGTAAGTATAACTAACTTTATTTTTGAACAGGAAATGGATTACTCCGGCAACTGTCAAAGCTTTGTTTCCGGCGATGACTTGTTCGTTGACGACCTTCTTGACTTGTCTAGTGGTTTCCCTGACGACGAAGGAAATCAAAATGAAAATGAAAACAAGTGTTCGTCGTCGCTACAGATTAAGGAAAGTGATAAAGAAACTGTTATTATTCCTTCTGTGAAACAAGATTTTGGTTCTCTTCTTGGTAGTGAACTCAGTCTTCCTGTAAGCTTTGTCCCCCTTTTTTTCCTTTTTTTTTTGTGAAATGAAAACAAATTTGTTTTATTTTGAATGAATTGAACCCTTTTTTCAGGGGGCTGATTTGGATAACCTAGAATGGTTATCTCATTTTGTGGAAGATTCATTTTCGGAGTATTCACTTACATACTCTGCTGGAAACCTACCGGAAAAAGCTCTCGAAGTTCATTCAGACGCAGAAATTCCGGCCCGAGAGAAGCCCTGTTTCACCGTTCCGTTTAGTGCTGAACGAGAGAAAAGTAGTAGCCGAATTTGGCCGCCGTCAATGTCATTTTCTTCGTCTTCCTCCACTACAGCCAACAAATTTTGGGGTCAGTTATCGGAATATAAACCGGCGGTGAGAAAACTGAAGAAGAAGATGGAGAAACGGGTAGGAATTGGGGCAAAACAGTGCAGCCATTGTGGGGTGCAGAAGACTCCACTATGGCGGACCGGTCCATTAGGTGAGAAAACACTTTGCAATGCATGTGGGGTCCGGTTTAAATCGGGTCGGCTGTTACCAGAATACCGGCCGGCGAGTAGTCCGACGTTTTCGACCGGATTACATTCAAACAGTCACCGGAAAGTTTTGGAAATGCGGCAGAAGAAGGAAACTGAACCGGGTCCGCCGGTTCAGAGTTTTTAATTAGTAGAAGCAGAGTTTTTAAGAAATTATTATTATTATTATTTTAAAGTTTAGATAATTTTATTTTTCAAGGTAGGGTTTTGAACTTCAAAGTGTTAGTGCAGAACAAATTTAAAAGAAAAAGGGAGATTATGCTTTTTATGCTTCTTTTTCTTTTTGGTTTCTTCATTGATAATTAGTATATATACGTGTCAAAAGGGGATTGGAGATTTTTAAAATTTATTGGGGAATTAAAGGATAGACTGACCTACTTTGGGTTTAGAATTCAATATTGTACCTAATTTTTTTGAATCTTTGAGTTTAAAATTTAGTACTATTTGCCAGAAAATTAAAAAGTTTATAATATCTTCTTTTTTTTTAAATAAACTGTTTTTTTTTTTTTAATTAAAAGGTATTAAAATTAAAAGGATAAAAATGTTCAAAAAGGTAAAATAAAATAGTATGAAATATGTTATTTTACCATTCTGACCAAATTTTCTAGCCAAAAAAGATTTTTCCATTTGTATAATTTTCAAACTATACGATTTGCTGAGTAATACATGCAACAATTAACTGTGTGTGTAGTTCTCCGCAGACCTAACGTAAGCAAATCCTAACTCTCTTTCTATTTTGGCCTAAATTCGAATAAAGCTGAAAAAAGTTGGATTGTTGGCAGTATTCAGAGAATCGATATACATAGGCTTCTTTCTGGTAAAACTGGGGAAATTTATGTTACCAATATGTAAAAATGTCAGGTTAGATAGATATGATTTCGGACGCCTGTTGTCAACTAGTTTATCGTCAACCTGTCTACAACTGTGCTAATTTGATGTAATGCAACTACGGTACACCCCAAGTATCTTGAACTAATTCCTTAGAATTGGCAACAAGATTGAGAGTGAAAACTAATCAATCTCGAAAGACCAAAAGCTCTCATCTCTAATGTATACGTACAAATTCTTGACTATCATCAATTCACTGCTGTAGCTTGTACATAGAGCAACAATTTCAGGATCAAATACAAGAATGATACAATTATTTTTGTCTGCTTTAGTGTACTAGTTTCTACCTGGTTACCATTATGGTTCAGTGGGAATTCTTTTTGTATCCTGCCTTCTTTGACTGAAATTTGATCAGCTAAAAAATTATACTAATATTTTAGCTACATCTTGATCATCCTACTAAAAAAATGGTTGTTCGAATTCACCTTTAAATTCATACCTTCTCAAAAGTGCAAATAGTCGCATAAAGCCCCCTTCTTGCAAAGTCCACTCTCATAAAATTTGCCAACACATTGTCATTTTGGGGGAGGTTCAGAGTATCCCCTGCCACGAAATGGCTGTCTGCACTACAATTACCTATCCCTTCCAAATCCCGAGTCCCCTACTGGAATAACCCAGTCTCTTGGACCACCAGACCTCTCCCCTGAGTATATACACTGGCTTTCAGACAATGTATTCCCGGTGAAAGGGGAATCATTCGTGTTTGAATGTCCGCATGCAGTCCCCATGCTGCTACCTTGATTAACATTTGTGAATCCCTGAACTGGTCCACCATAAGTCATGTTTCCAGGTGCTGCACGACAGTCAGTGGTTATAGTTTCCAGTTCAGTACTCTGGTTGATGACTGAAAGTGCAGTTTTCCCCGTGGTGCAGGGTGTAGGTATGTTGAACCCAGTTTCTCCCTGGGAAAAGGAAATATCAGCTGACTTTGTTTCTCCCTCACTGCTAGTAGATGAAGTCCTGCTAGACCTCTTAAAAGGATCAAAAGCTTCAGCCTGTGATGTCCTCGCTAGTTCATTTGTCAGAGAGGATTGACAAGGTAATTGCATATCTTCAGTGGAGCTCAAGGCATCATTTTTTGCAGGGTCAGGTGTGGGACTAAGCTCCTCAAAAAAGCTGAAAAAGTCACTTCTACATACAGATATCGTCTCCTCACAGAACCTCATGGCGGAGGTTGGTGAACCCATACCACTTTGAGTTTGAGATTCCATTGCATCAACTTCAGCTAATAGGTCTGACACGGATTCCTCATATAAAGTGCTGAACTCTATTGGCTCACCAAAGATTGCTCGCCAATCGGAAAAGTTTGAGATTGGATGAGATGAGGAATTATTATTGAGTTGGTTGGCATCTGATGTAGGTGTGTCGACATGATCACCCACTGCTTCAGCTGGTTTCAGTTGGTTGACATCTGATGTAGGTGTGTCAACATGATCACCCACTGCTTCAGCTGGTTTCAGTTGGTTGACATCTGATGTAGGTGTGTCGACATGATCACCCACTGCTTCAGCAGGTTTCAGTGCAGAATCAGAGATAAGATCAGAGTCTATAGATGGTTTCGCAGCTGGTCCACCCAATCCATTAGCTATTTCAGGAAGTTGGGCCCCATCGATCACCAGACTAGAAGCACTGCTCCAACTAGGACCTGAATCCTGAACAGGAAAACTAGAAGTTAAAGAATCTTTGTTTGCTGCAGCCTGCCCAACTGTAGCTTCTTCTTCCAATTCTGGTGTAGGACTTGGCAAATCTTGAATATCTGAAGCACAAACTGGAACAACCAAACTCAAAGAAAGTAGCTCTTCAGCAGCCTGAGCATCAACATCGTCATAGCTTGTTTTGGGGGTTGGACTTGGCAGATCCGGATAACTCGTGATACCATTCTGTTGAAATGAATCACTTGACTTGGTAACTGAAGCAAAACTAGAACTTCTATTACTGTTTGAGGGTTCCCAGTTCTGTCCACAAGACTGCCCTAAATGCCTCTGACTGTGGGATTGCATACTATGATTGCAGCCGTTTCTACTTGAGTCCTGAACCATATGACCTGTGTTGGACTGAAAATCAACAATTTCATGGCATCTTTTCCCATGGGAAGGAGCTCCGCGCACGTTCCCATGACTGGATGACGGTTCAGGGCTGGATGAATGGGGTTTGTCAGAATAAGAATTATTCAAGTCCAAACATTGTGGCGAAGATGAGGACAGCCCATCCATCCTCGCAGTCTCAGTGTTACCATTAGAATGATTATTTGTAATACGGAGGTGCCAAGGTACCTCCTTCTCTCCACATTCTCTCCCTATTCCAGTTGCACTTCCACACCACCCAACACTACTGTTAACAGAAGTAGCACCAAGCTCCTGAGACTGGTGTGAAATCTCACCATGAACCTGAGGGGATTTATCGAACAGCCCTTTTAGTGCATTAGTTAAAAGTACCGAGTCATCATGCTCACCTTTTATCCATATCCTCATATCAAGTGGGAAAAGCCCTGATTTATTCCATTTCCTCAACTGCGTCACTGAAAATGGTCCTTGTATTCTACCACTAGGGTCACGGTAATGCCAAAGCTTGTCTGTGTCACTATTGTTGGTGAATGTTGAGTTCACTGTAGAGAAGCTTGTAATTGAAGTTTCAGATGCAGACCTATCCACAACCTGACATGCAGTACCTTGATTCCCTAGTTTCTTCATAATATTTCCATGAGCCTCTCTTTTTTCACTAACTTTACATCGAGCCATGATAGATCCCTCTTTATCTGGATAAAAAAGAATAAAGATTCTACTTAGTTCACGAAGAATCAACTTTTGGAAGACTTACTAGTACAACCACCACCTCACCTTTCCTCCATGAAGACATAGGCTTGTCTTCCCTTCTACAAAATCTAGTGTATCTTGGCCCCCCATATTCAACTGCATTACATTACCATCAACAGTAAGCAAATCTTTCAAATAGCGCCCAATAAAAAAAGATCACCAATAAATTGGAAAAAGTTACTAAAAACAAAATGATGTAACCTTGTTTTTTGTCGTCAGATTCTCTAGCATCTTCGTCAGTTTCATAATTAGGATCCATCTTTGGATCAGCATGCACTTCTGGAGTTGCAAGTAGCCTCCGCTGATGTTCCTCAGGAGTCTTCAGAAGCTCTAGTTTCTCTACACATTCTCTGAGCGTGGGAATTGTCAAGGAAGTCCTCATACCATGCTCAAAGTCTTATCCAATGTTCCAATTTAAAATGATATCCATAGATATTGAAATCATATGCTCTTATCCAAAGAAGAATATTGAAATCATTTTTTACAGCGAGATCTAATAAATCTCCCAATTGATTTAGATGTTGAACTGAAAATTGTGAGTTAACAACAGCACTATGATCCAGCAGCAATTTCATGGTTCACTCTAATTCATTGTAAAAGATTCAGTTTGTGCATTTCTATAGGTTAAGTAATTTTTGTATAACACATATCATTTGTGCTAGTTATAAGAGGTGATTGCAGAAAGAAAAAGTGAATACGAGTGATCCAATTTTAACATGTGTTTAGAGTTCATAAAAAATGGTAAATACTACTAATATATGTGAAGATCCTGACTAACAAAAATAGTCAGAACCTCATCAAAATAATTATTGAATTTTGAGAAGAACTCCTATTTATACGAAGTAAATTTATCCATCTGATTATAATAATGAGAAAGAAAAAAGTACTTGGCATTTTACTTGGAGTTTAGTTTTTTTTTCTTTTAAGTAACTTCAACTCATTGTAAATGTAATTCAAATTAGTAATATCCCTACTTGGGACCAACCTTCTCATTGCCATTTAAATTAGTTCATGTCCCTGTTTCTGACCTACTCCTTTTTTCTTTCCCTCATGCTATAAACTAAATTATCCATTTGTTAAGGTAATCAGACAGAAACATATGGAACTGTCAAAAGAAAGTGTGGAGCAAGAGAAAAGCAGAAAAACACAAGTTCTAAAATAGAGGTTAACTGTTTCAACAGAGGAAAGGATATTCTTTCTTACGCCCTTTCTCACTTGCTCTATCACGAAGATTGTTGAGTCGCAGTATCTCTTCTTCCAAAGTCTGTTCTTTTTTTGAAAATAAGGAAGCAAAAGCCCATCACAAGACAGCCTATATAACATCTTTTTAAAAAATAATAACAGTGACAGCATACATAAAATCTTCGAATACAAAAATATTGAAGTTCCACGAGAGTAGCTAGCTACAACAATTTACCTACGTTTGTTTACTAGTCAGAATAGTTTACATTTACCTACTTTGGAATGTAGAGCAACAAAATGTGTGGATTAGTTACCATTTAGAAACCAATACCTTTTCCTTCTTTTGGAAGCAGTTTCTTTGTGATTTAGACACCACTCGATTTTGAAGCACAATAGAATTCGAGAAGGAAGGAAATATTTAAACACAATTTTAAAAGATCCAACTATACCAATTTCTCTCTGTTGCAATTGAATTCACATGACCAAGTGAAATATTTCTATCTCCCAATACTAGTTTCAAGCTTTCAATACAAAATATTACTAGCAAACTATGTGACATGGCCTCTTCCTTGCCTAAACATACTCTGCCTAACAAGATACATAGGTATTAGAACTTCATTTAGGCCCTTCAAAGCCATGCAAAAGCTTGCTAAAAATAAAATAAAATGTATTGAATTATACCCAGATGAAATGCTCATATCGAAGATCATTAAATATGATCTAAAGGAAAAGGACATCTTAAAGACTAAATCATGCTCCTCCCATCCCAATTTCTTGTGGGCTGTGGCCCATTCATTATCATTCCAATTAAATTTGCATAACCATTTTACTAAAGGAAACATGTCCATCTACATATTCTGATAGAGAAAATTGTGATGAATAATGAAAAGGTGTGATCAATATTGAAAAGTAACTGACATACATCGTTGAGTTTTACTGCACGGAGTTCCATTGCTTTCTTCTGTATGTCACCCTATGTTGAAGAATAAGCATCATTTAGTCAGTCATTGTGATATCCTAAAGCAAAACTTAAAAGTGACATCAGGTTCAACACTTACTATGGTCAGCCGCTTTACAAGCCCACATTTTATAATCTGACGTAATCTTCTGCATTCATCCTGAAGATATGCCAATAAATGATTAAGAAACTATCCGAATCAATAGCAGTCACCTGCTGAAATAGCCGTATACCCTATACAGGGACAACATATTAAGGTGACAGAGTAGTAGTTGAGAGTACCACTCTGTTGAAGGTATGTGTGGTAGTCACTTCAAAAAAAAATAAAAAATATTATCATATAGGAGACAATTAAAGAGAAAGGGAACAAAACTAATTGAACCCACACCTATTGTGATATCACTAAGCTTAAGTATTGGTGGTAGTCTTTTCATATGGTTCCAAACAGTATTCCTCACGAGTTAACTTTAGGAATAGAGTTAGGTCCAAGGTCCATTTTGCTTGACATATAAAAGTCAAACTCATCCCTGATACTAGACTAACCATTGTAGGGACCCAAATTATGTTATCATTACTCCAACAACTCTGAGCATACAACCAAAGGATGTTAGAGTGAACAAGTTGCATGGACTGTAATTTTTTTATACGGTCGTGGACAATCCTGATCTCTTGAGCAAACTTTTTGGGATTGAATTAGGTCCAAAGTATATTTTTCTTCACAGAACTAAGCACAAAAAAGGTTTATGTACCATTTGTAGACATGAAAATGAAGCTATTCATTAATAAATGCAACAATTTTGCAACTCAAAGTAGTGAACAAGGAAGAGTCACTTGTATCCAATTACCTCAGAGAAATCTTGATTTGAAATAGAATCAATAGGAACAATCTCTTTCTTGTTTAAGTTTAAGACTTCAAGCAGTACATTAGCAGTCTTATCCCCAATCTTATATGGAACAAATACCTTGCTTGTACCTGAGTTGAAGAAATTATGTGCTCTGGAAACTAGATCGAAATCTTATTTATACCATCATGAGTGGTTTAAAAAAGCTTTTAAAGAAATATCAGTACCTACGACATGGACAAGCCTGTACATATCTTGCTTCTGATTGTTACCAGATATTCTTATCCGGACAACTGAGCCAGTAACTCTGCCTTGGAACTTTTCCATATCTTCAATAAGACTCTCCATCAAATCACGGCGCAAATATATGAGATTGATGTTATGAGCATCAATTGCTGCATACTCATCTAGATTTATCTGCACTAAACTTTCTTCGGTGTGTCTACGCGATTTACGTTTCTTAGTTTTATTCATCAAGAATGAGATATCATTATTATCATCAGCCTCCACACGACTAGTAACATTTCCAACAATTCCAGCTGGTATAAATGCACTCCCCTGCGAATCCTCCTTTATCAGAAAGTGAAATTCAAGAAGCTTTAGCATTTCTATGTGGCCAGCACGATGTTTTCCAAATAGACTTCTGAGCCTCGAATCACAAATTATTTGACTTTTCTGATGAGGATCTCGAAGTTTATTTCTCTTTATGTACTCTAGTAATAGGGCCTGGACCTCAAAATGTGATAGAGCAGAAGTATCACCATTCTTCATGTGTGCAACAAACTCCAAAAGCTCTTTGGACGCCCATTCCATGCATCCATTCAATGATGTCCCCATGGAAGCACTTGCTTCTTCTTTCTTTAAAGAACCATTCCTCCGTAACTCTAGTTCTATGGGCTGCATTTTCTCCAACTGTGGAGTACAACCAGGACCACATAAATTTTCAGCCTCAGCAATTGTTTGGATTTCAGTGATTGGAGGATCCTTGCAAGGTGGCTCCAGCAATTGTTCGGGTTTTTTCAGCTCCAGATGGTCAAAAGACTTGCCCACAATACCTTTTCCATCAAATGCAACAGGATGAAAAAAAGGTAGTCGCTGTTGCTTAGCATGTACTGTATCTGATCCTTTCCAAGGTTTTTTGGCTTGAATAAGTTCACTTTGTGTTAATGATAATTTTTCTTTTAAGTACATCCAATATACCTTGAAGAGATACTCCCAGCTACTCTTGTCATCAAAATCTACTTGAACCTGAAAAGATTTCAGGCACACAAAGTTAAATACATATGGCAGACAAGTATCAAAATCAAGATTTCTTCTTCTTTTTTTCCTACAGAGGAAAAGAAAATGAAAAAAGTACATAGTAATACTATCTGAGAACAAAATTTTAATCAAACAATTTTTTATTTATGTAATTATTTACAAATCTGGCATGTCTGCAAAAGTTCAGTAATTAGAACTGATGATCAGATGTGTTCCTGGAGAATGTGACATGTTTTACATGTTCATAGGTAAATGCATTAATTGTCAGGTGAATGTCTCTTACTCAAATAGAAAAAATTAATGGAAGGTCAAATACCTAGGTAGCCCCTCAAACTTGGTACGAATTGTTTAAACACTCCATTACCTAGTGACCATTAAAATACCTCTACCTGGCAGAGGTGTGTCTCGTGGACACCTATGTTCACGCGTGAAAAGATTCACTGTTGATGTGATGGCCGAACAAATCAACAAACGTCACATGTAATATTTTCCTATATAAATGCCTCCTATAAATTATATTTTAAAAATAAAAAACCACCTACAAATATTCTATTGAACCTCAAAACAACTCTAAGCATCGCCATGAATTTTGGGGAAGGAAAAGACTATGTTACAGGAGAGAAGTTGGTTTGTTGCCAGAGAACATTTTCTGGCCATGTTTTCTAGTTGTTTGAAGGTGGCCATTATTTGATATCCATTGGTGGTTTCTTCACTGTTTAAGCCACCAATGAACTTTGGGATGTTCCCAGAAAGTTGATTGTTCAAGGTATTAATTGTCTTGTTGGTTGGTTGTTTGCTTAACATCTTTAAAAGAGACCCAAAAAGCTTGTTTGAACAGAGGTCAAGAGATGAAATTCCATGGAAATTTGAACCCAGCAACATCAGTTTTAAACTGGTTGTGGGATATCTTTGCCTTTTGCAAGCTTGACATATGTGCAAAGAAATTTGATATACCATCCATGGAGAAGTTAGCTGATAGGTCTATGGTGTTAAGGGAATTAAGCATTGTAAAATTTGGAAGTGTCCCACAAAGCTTACAGTCTGCTAAGTTGACATCAGAAAGTTCTCTGTTTCTAATCCATTCTGGCACTGTTCCCAAATTGAAATTATACAAATTGTTATATGAAAAATCTATTGACAGAGTTGAAAGGAGGCTATGGTAACGGCAATAGGCAAAGGATCTAAGAGAGTATTTCTAGATAAACTAAAAGTTCCGAAGATTTGGTACTCCTGCAATAGAATCTGGGATTTGGCCTATCAACTTGTTAAAAAACAGTGACAGATGGGTGCTTTAACCTGCAGATTTGACTGAAAGTTCTTCCTGTAGTCTTATTGTTGTCGAGTGATAAAATAAATGTTTGAGCAAATTGCACAAGTGAATTGGAATAAGCCATGAAAGTTCTCTAGTAAAAGGGTGGATGTATGAGGTCCATGCAAAATTCAGTATTATTCTGAAAAAGGAAGTAGAGAAAAACCATGATTAAGGTCTCACGCGCTCAGATTTAAGTGGAGCACACCAGATCACAATTTTTTCAAATAGAGGTACCTATCTGGTCACCAGCTAAGTGTGGGTGTCTAACTGACAAATCCCGCAAAGCTTGAGGGGATATCTTGGTATTTAGACTTGATGATATCATAAAATGTCAAATTAATAATCAGCAATGAGATTATGGGGCACAACATACCATCTCCTTGATCCCATGGTCTATATTCTCAATCAGCATGATAATTTTCATGCATGTTGAACAAAAGCCTTTGCTTCTTCGAACACAGAAGAAATCAGCATCTTTTGTACATCCTTTGCACACCGAATATGTACAAGTATAGCACATATAGTGGGAAGCCTTTTGACATACACTACAAACATGCCAACCTGAAAATAAAGGTAATTTGAGAATGTTATGTCATGCAAACCATTTGGAGGTGGTGATGTGATAATCAATAGAACATCATCTGCATTTTTAATCATATTCTATTTCATTTTAACTTCAAGCAACAACTTCAAGACTTATCGTTTAAGAATCTTTTCATTTTCTATTATTAACTTAATTAATTGTTCATGAACATTGCTGACCAAAAACTCAAACATAACAATCTGGAGAAACAAATCCTTTGAAGTTCAAAAAAAATTGTATTAAAATGAAATAAAAAAAACACTCAGCACTACACATGCTAACCAGCAACATTCCCATGTATATTTGGTGTCTAATATATGTTTGTGACTGCACCCTGCTGTGAATATATATTCTCCAGATATCATGCACATCATCAAAGTGTCTTCGATTACACACACACATTCATAGACAATCAGTGTATATGTTGTGCATGTTGAATGTACATACATATACTCACACAGAAAATAACAATGTATGTCAGTTCCACTGCTCAACAAAGAAAATGCCTTCGATCACATTAACTATTAGTATGGCATCCTACATAATATTTCAAAATCAGTCTTTATCCACTTCATACCAATAGATTCTTTGCAGCTTATTCTAACATTACAATGATGAAAACTAATGGTTCTATCGAGTAAGCTACACCAAGGTTTCTCTTGAGCAATCCAAAAAACAACACCATTCAATGAAATTTACAGTTTAGACATAGTTCAATTTATCATTTTCCTATGGTACCATTTACTCGGATTGCTTAAGGTTTAGTTTAATCAAATAATCCAACCCTTGTTCATTTTTTTATTTTTTGTATTTTTAAAAGGAATCTGATCCTTGTTTCTCTCTGTCATGGAGATTTAGTTTCTTTTTTTCTTTTTCCAATTTTGCATTAAGATTTTTATTTTTTTTTGAGATTGCCCCAAAGTGAACATGTTTTCAAAATTCTTTATGAAGAGTGAAAAGATAAAGGAAAACGGAGCAAAGAGAGTGAGATAGTTATTGAATATAAATGGAATGGGTCCAGTTGGAGCGAAATGAATAGTGAGGATTCATATAATCGATTCTAACTTCAACTAGCTTAGAATTGGGAGGCATAGTTGGTAACTAGGTGTTGGACTGTTGGTGTTGTTGTTGGATAAGTAAGGTTATCAGCAACAGTAAGGCAGGGCGGTGAAAGATTATGTTCAGGTCTTCACATCCCAAAAAACAATGTTCGGAAGTAGCAACCATTTCGAACATGTTACAAATTTAGAGTACAAAACATGTGAACCGATCATGATTACAACAGAAAATATACACATGTACCAGTTAGTAAGTCACTATGGTGAACCATGTCAATATTGATCGATTTAGATGGATTGAATGGATTGGGACCTGCTCTTTCAACTTTGGAAATGCTAATTGCAGCTAAAAATTCCAATATGCTTTTGACATGATGGCTACTTGCACTGCCCTCTATTTGTGTATGTGATAGGACTACAAGAGAACGAACTAGGATACTCTTCCTAGTGTTCCTCCTTCTACCCATTCCTGAATGAACTCCAAATTCTTTCTTGCAACTGCATATGTGCCTTCCTTTCTCACTCTCTCTACTGACACAGACACCATGCTATTGGCTGCTTGGGCACTCACTGCTCTTTGTTTCCATTTCAAATTTTCACTCTAATAATTTTATGACTTTTGTATGTAGCTATTGGCATGCACACATGTTTCCATTTTAGGTGTTCGCTAAATGTTTAGATGTGAATATATGTTTGTATATACAGAAGTGATAAATAAGTACTAATAATTGTCAAAAAAAGTATAAATAAGTACTAATCTTGATTGTTATGATGAGAAATAATGATTTTTGCCACAATGATTGATATGCAGTTCTTTCTGGCCAACTTATGATGATTTACGAAGCAGCAGTAAAATGAAGGATCCAGCATCTCACTTCTTAGATATCTACAAAATAGCAGCACGAGGAAGTAACTGAAGTGCTGCTAACCATTTTCATTGTGCACAACCCACCTGCCTTAAAATTTATTTGCACCTTATCTATGTGTTTTTGGTGACACTGCAGTAGCATGGACACCTTTATATGGAGAACACTTAACTAAATGCCAGATGCACAAGTGATATGACATTATTGCCTGTAATGTGTCACTCATGGATCAAATCTACCATCAAACAGAAATCTGCATGACCTTGCCTGATACTTAAGTCCATGTTCCAAATGGACTAACTAGCAATTGCACATCCAAGACAAAATTGATAAATGAGGTGCAATAAACAGAGATGGGAACAACAATCCAAGCCCGGAGGACTAAATGAAGTAAACAGGTTCTTTAGTTAGTGTAGAAGCAAAGGTACATACCACAGTTCCATTTAGCTTTGGAGCGGAAAAATGCCTCATCCCGCTTAATACAAGCTGGATGGTATGCCTTCGGACATCCCCTTTACAGTTAAATCAATACAATCAATCAGCTACTTCTCAATCTCAAGCCATTAAGAAAACAATTTGGAATAAATTAGAAAAGCACTTCAACTTTACCATTTATGAAGAACTACTATATCAATTTTAAACTGAAAGCCAGTAAACTTGGGGACAAAACTATTCAAAATGGAAAAGGAGGCAAAAAAAATAAAAAACAATTAGAGCAAACACTGAAAAACGCCTATTTTACTCACTTGCGATCGCATAGGACAAGAGAACCACCATCGAAACAAATAAAGCAGACATCTTCTCCTTCCTCCTCCTCTCGCTGTCTCTTCGGTTGCGGAGCTTTAACTACTGCTCCACGTGGCGGCCGTCCTCGCTTCGTCTTCTCAGCAAAGCCGATCCCGTTCTCCATCGGCGTCTTCAACTTCGCCGGAGAATTAGAATTTCCAGTAGCAACCTCGGACATCGTTCCCGGAACTCCAACCAGCTGCTTCCCTTCCATATCCTGAATTGATGTGCAGTTTTCTACAGACGAAGCGGCGTCCTCGAGCAACCTTTGACTCTGAGGTTCTTCTACACAAGGGCGGCACATCTGCGGGCTGGAATTATCATCGTCCATGAGAAATTGAGCTCCGAGATAGAAAGTTACGAAAACCTAGTTTGGTGAATTGGCCGGCGGGAGGAAGTGTTCGGAAAAGTGATCATTGACCATGCGAAGGAAGTTGTTCGAGTACGTGGAAATTTCTGAGACGGGAAGGGAAAGAGTTAGAGAGAAAAGGGATAGGGGACGGTGGTGTTGGGCCCTGTTTGGCAGAGTCAAGTGTGTAAAATGTGTATATGCGCGAGAGATAGAGAGAGAAAAAAAAAAACAAATAGGAAAGTGGTGGGGACCCAGCTGAGGGCTTAACATTTGGTGAAACACGACTTGTGAATACACATGGAGATACATGACTTGTAAAAACTTATATGAATATACATAGAAATACGTGGATCCAGAATTTTCACTAATAAAATTTAAAATTTGAGATAAATTTTGAATTCTTAAACTATTAAGTTAATTTCTAATTTTATGTTTATGAGATTCAAAATTTATACATATGTATTCATCTGCTGCTAATGTGAAAATGAAGAATTTGAAGTTTATGAATTTTAAATTATTAATATATTAAATTCAGCCAAATTTGTAAATGATACTTTATTTGTGCTCCTGCACGTGAAGAATGGGCAAGGCTCCTCGAGCACAGCCTGATTGTGAAAACACTGGGGGTATAAAATTGTTACTTCCTCTAATTTCGTTTTTACGTATTTAAAAGTGTTTGATTATGCATTATTAATAATAATTAAAGGTGAAAATGTTCTATGGTTTTAAATTAAAATCGTATGCAAAGGTCCGTTTAATTTAAAAATATAAATCACACAAATAGAATTATTTAAGATCTATTTTAAAAATTGTATTGGTTTTAGAAAAAATGTAATATCAACTAGTAGGGTGTAATTTTAGTACTATCTTTATTTTAATTATCTTGTTAAATAATCTACAAATTCTTATTTACATTGATAATCCGTTTGTCTAGGTTTACTTATTTACTTTTACTAAATTAAAAATAGATATTCATTTTTAATTATTCAAATTGAAAATTATGAAACAATTTATCACTTAATTACTTTTTTATCTTTATTAGTAGTACTAACTACTAATCATAGTCATTTCTCAATGTACTTTCTAAAATATTGATTTTAATATATTAAAAAAAAATATATAGTGAATGTATTATTTTATTAATTATTTCCTAAAAGATACTTCCTATGTTTCAATTTCCTAAAAACAATTTTTTTATTTCAACATTTTACGTGACATGTAATATCACAAAATAAAATGTATTTTGGTACTTCTATTTGTCTTTTTAACTTAATAGGGTTTTTTTTTACTTTTATAAACTTCATATCAAATAAAATACAAAAAATTAATTAAAATAAAGAGAATATGTCAATCAAACGTGAACAAGCATAAATGAACGGACAGATAGAGTATAATGTGTGTTTTGGCCATAAAAACATGAAGAAGAAAAAAACCATTTTACTAGAGAAGTTAGAATTATGTTAAATTATATTATTTTTTAAATTAAAATGTATTTAAAAAGCATAAAATATTATTTAATTGAAGTTGTTTTATAAAAATACAAAAAAAATAGAGTAAATTATTTTTTGAAAAAAACAAGTAAAATAAAATTTCAAATATTTCTCAAATTTTATTTGGAAGTGAGAAAAAAATCTGAGGGTTGTTGTTTTGTGATGAGTGGGTTATGGAACACGTGAACAAGTTGAAACTTTTTAAGAAATGGGGTCCACTCTTGCCTTTTTTAAGTAGTGGAGGTGATAGTCACAATAGTTAATTGGGTCGGGGGCAAGTGAGTCACCCCAATTTTATTTTATTTTTTAAGTACGAAATTTGACGCAAATTATTAATTTTATCTTAGAATTATTGATAGTTTTAAAAATATTTTTCTACTTGACTAACGAAATTTAAATATATATTTATAAATTCGATGAATATATTTAAGTTCAACTAATTAAGTAATGAATTTTTTTAAGGCAAAGATGAAACTAATAATTCGCGACCTGTGCACCCAACAAAAATCGAACCTGCAAATTGGGGATAGCATTCTCAGCTCAAATTGCACAATCCAATGGCAGTGAGTTATCTCTTATTTGATTGACGTGATTCAACATTAGTATATATACAAAAAATATTTAAAATATGTCTTATATTTATAGTATAATTGTTTGCTAAAATATTCTGATAAACTTGAACATCGAAATAAATTCGACCCTGACAACAACTCCCTAACTCATACTATTATGATCATGTGCAAATTTAGCCAGTCATTTGCGGTTTGCGAAAACCCAAACTTTACTTAACACAAGATAACTTGTATTACTATCATTCGTTGACATTTATCGATTTGCAATTTTGACCCATCACATTGAAAAAGGACAATTATCCTCCTCCAGATGGAATTTAGAATATAAAGTCGGCACATATGCCCCTTTGTGTTTTATTGATGGTAAGGTTTATACTTCTCAATATTTTATTAAAAATAATTAAGACTTTATTTTGTTAATATTTGAATATAAAAAATATTTATTAATTTAATATTATATTAGTATATAAAAATAAAAAAACTATATGTTATCTGGTGGTAGTGTAGATAAATTTTGGTAATTGTAGGTAGATATAATAGACAGGTTAGACTGAATTTATGCGGGTCAAATTTGAAACTCTCGAAGAACATTTTCTTTAAACAATTTTAATTATTTTTAAATTATATTCTCGAGATTTCAATTTCTTCACAGGAATATCTTCATTGAGGGGTGAATTTGCGTGGATCAAATTCATCACCAATCATTCAACGCTCACTTGTCCATATAGTTCATAGCTTTTGCAATACATAGGGACATAATCACATTTAATTTTTATTCATTGATTTCACCTTTTATGAAATTTTCATCCTCCCCAATATTAATTCTTTGTGGAAATTTTGTAGCTAATCCATCTTCATTTTAATTCTCGCATAATATGTTTAATCTAATTGCAGGTTTGTAACTTGAACTAGTAGTTTGATACTAATCGTTGGGATGTTTTATCTAGTGGCAATTCTTGAACATTCATTAGTTCAATACCACTTAGTGTTAAACACTTTTAATATATTTTTATATAAAGTTGATACATTATTTATGATTGGTGTATGATGTTGTATGTAAAATTTTATAAATATTTTTGCGTTTTTTTTTTTTTTTAAAAAAAAGCGAGTATGAAATGAAAATATAGGACGTGGATGCAAAGTGCTGAGCTATATACTTTTTTTTTTAAAAAAATAATCCTAAAATTGAACAAAATGAAAGAAAAGGAATAAAGTTCTTTGTACGTGTAATTATGGTCATAGTTAACGTGACATAATATCTCTCTTGGACTTAAAAATCATTTTATCTTTTGTTGTTTTGTGCCTTTTTCTCTTCTCATTTATCCATTTAAAATATTATTTTAGTATAAAGTCTACAATTACTTAACTTTCCCCCTTGCCCAAACTTATTTATTTATTATTAGAGTCATTTTTAACAATTCATTTATGTACATGCCCCCAATACATAATTTTGATATATATATATGATAGTAAATTTACTCGCGCTTCGCGCAGAAATTTAATATCATGAAATTTATAAAATAATATTTAAAACCTATCATTCACTAAAGGGAAAAGGGTCTGAAAAATGCTCCCAACTTTGGCCGAAATTGTTATTACGATACCAAACTTTATGGAGGACATTTTACCCCCCCCCCCCCCCCGAGGCCATCTTAACCACTAGGCCACTAAAGCCAGGGCCCCATATTTTTTGAGGCCCCCATTTAAAAAAAAAAATACTTATACATATTATTAAAAAAATATATTAATTTTTGAAAGAAAAAAACGTGTAAGAGGTTTTATAGTTTTTCTTGAAAAATTGTTATTGTTGATATTCTTAATTCATAAGTATATGCAAATTGTTTTAATTATTATAAAGAATTTATTCAGTTTTAATATGTCAACTAGGAAACATGATTCTGATTTTAAAAAAAGAGAAAAAACTTGAAGAATTAGATAAATCTTAAAAAAGAGCCCTTGATAGATTTTTAACAATAATAAAATTTTTGAATAAAAAATATTGGAGGATGTTCTTCAAATGATCAAGTAACTCAATTATAAAATTGAGTTAGATGATAATAATATCCAAGAAGAAAATCTAGAAGAAGTTGGTGAAAATGTGATATTGTTCCCGATATCAAGAACTCTTAAATAATTTAAATAGTCGCATCCCTAAAAATATATATGATCCAAGTCAATGGAATAATGTAGTTACAAAATTAAGAGACCTATTAGTAGAAAAGGGATCATTTAGAGTGACTGATATAAATTTCCACAAGATAAATACGTACGACATTTTTCTACAACACACTATATTCAAAAATTCGTAAACAGAGAAAAGCATGAAAGAAAATGATTAATCTACTCTACAGATTTGGATTAAAAAAATTTATTTTTGTTGTAAATTATTTAGCACAACTTCTATTATTTGTAATAGAAAACTAGCTAGTGAAGGTAGTAATGAGTGGAGAAATCTTAGTGTTAAGCTCAATGTCCATGAAGTAAAGAATGAACATATTATTAATAATATGAGCTCATGTATTGATTTAGAAATGAGATTGCATTAAAAAACAATTGATAAAGCTGTGCAAGAACAAATTGACAGAGATAAAATTCAATGAAAAAATGTATTGTCAAGAATTATTGACGTGATCAGAACTCTAGGGAAAATAATTTAGCATTTAGGGGAACAAATGGAAAGATCTATCAAGAAAGTAATGGTAATTTTTAAAGCCTAATTGAAATGATTAATAAATTTGATTATGCTATGCAAGAACATATTCGAAGAATAAGCATGACGAAATTCATAGTCATTACCTTGGACATAATATACAAAGTGAATTATTAAACTTATTGGCAAGTGAAGTCAAGAATAATATTATTAAAGAGATTAAAGAAACAAAATACTTCTCAAAATATTAGGGCCTCTCTTTAAGATTTGGTTTTAGGCCCCGATCTTGTTGAGTTGGCCCTGTGTCCCCCCCTGCACTATTTAATAGTGTATTTTAAAGGTATATATGTGTCCACGTGGACACGTTACTATTTATAATGATGAAATATTTATGATGTCCACGTGGGCACATAAATACCATTAAAATACACTATTAAATAGTGCAAAGGGTAAAAATACACTATTAAATAGTGCAGG